ATTCTGGATTAACCAGTTGGGCCCAATGTAGTAACAAAAGCCCTTGAAAGTGGAAGAGGGAGACAGAAGAGTAGAGTTAGAGGCTATGCGACTATGAAAAAAGTGTCAGAGAGATACAACAGGGCTGGCTTTAAGGTGAAGGAGATCAGAGCCAAGGACTATGGGCAACTTCTAGAAGCTGAAACAGGCAAAAAAAAATGGAACTTCCCCTAACGTCTCCAGAAAGGAACCCTGCCAAAACCTTGAGTTTGGTCTAGTGAGACCTATGCTGACACTGAAACTTAGAGAACTGTAAGATAATAAATGTGTGTTGATTTAAGCCGCTAAGTTTGTGGTAACTTATTTGTTAGTATTTGGGGGGGGGGGCAGGGAGATGAGGCAGAGGAATTTCAAAGCCAACTCCAGACTTTGTATCATTTTATTCCCATGTGCTGAGTATATCTTTTTAGAAATATTAGTATCTTCTTACATCCAAAGTACAGTTGTCAGAGCTAACAAGTTGAATAAAACTTTTTTCCCCGATAATAAGTTCTCAATTCTCTCAGCAATGTATTTTTATTGGTGCTATATTGTTGCTATAACCATACGCAGAAGAGTTACCACATCGTCTTCCAAACACAGTAATTTGACTTATTACTCCTAGTGAGATGGTCTTTGAATCAAGATCCAAAGAAAGTCTACAAATTGCATTTACTTATTATGTGTCTTTGGTTTCACTATCAAGGGAACAGCCCATTCTCCCTCACCTCTCCCCTATTCATGCCATTGACTTGTTGAGGAAACCCAATCAGCTGCCATGTAGCATGCCCCGCATCTGCTTCTTTGCAGGGTCATTTAACTTGTTTCTCTATGCCCCGTAGTTTTTATAGGCTGGAAAGTAGCCCTAGAAGTGTGATTGGATTCAGGTTTATAAATTCCTGAGACTACTGCACAAGTGATGCTGCCTCCTTCACATTGCACATCAGGGACATCGTTACTATTTTTAGTGGTACCTGCTTCATTCAGCGAATTGCCCCACTATGTAGTTTTTCATCAACTTTTCCTTTAATTTTTGATCTTTGCCTGAATCAATTATTATACTAAGCTGAAAATAATTATCTTCTAATTCTATTATTCCGTCCTTAAGTATTAACTGTAATTTTCTGTAATGTTTTTTCCAAAGTGGAAGAACATATTTATAATATGCTACTATATTTCTTTTATCTAAGAAAGAAATATATGTGTTATAATTGTAATATTATAATACATGTATATACCTCGATTTTATTTATATGTATTATTATATATTATGCTTATTTATCATATATAGGTATACACACACCTATATATATTATAGTTATTATAGGTATATATTATATATAGGTAATACACACACACATATTTAACAAGACTTTATCTATACGCATGACTTCTATTGATATGTAAAGTAATAGAAGGGTAAACTAAAACATGAAAAAATACTACAGCTAGTGGGAAGGAAATAAAGTGCGATGAGTAGGGACAGAAACTAGACTTTTCTGAGTACATCTTGCTTTGTAGATTTGAAGTTGAAATTATCTAAGTATCTTACACAATTTTGAACTAAATTTGAAAAATTTAAAATCTATGAAAATTGAAAAAAATTCCCAAGTACTGAACCTAACTAAGAATGCAACTGGTGCTATAACCATACAGAGAAAAGTTATTATATTGCCTTCAAAACACAGTAATTTGACTTACTATTCCTAGTGAGATGTATTGTAAGGACATTAAAAAATAAAAAAGTTTCAAAAATTTAAACTGCTTTAATCATATTGTTCATAATAGCTTTGGTATTATTAATCCTAAAACTATGTATATATGCAAATGATAATTATAGCATATATATGATAAAACCAGTAATTAATATTATTAGAACCAAGATTTTCTGCATAAGTGATAAAGTTAAATAAAAAATTCTGTTATCCTAAATTGAAAATCTATGAAATAACAATTTCTCTTAAAATATGTATTTCCTAACTCTGCCAACTGAAAATCTTGGAAACTATGATTAACTCAATTACAATGAGCACTCTTACTATTAAGATTATGGTTCCTAAATATCATTTTCCTCCAAAAGGAACTGGATATTCTTAGAGAAACAAGTGATGTCAAGATTGAGATAGGAAATATACAAGGTGAGCTTACATCTTCTCACACCAAAAGTAATAAAAAAAATCAAAAACAGTTAAGATAATATCAAAAGGACTCAGGAGCTATATTAAAGAGTCAGAAATTAGAAAACTGGAGCATTAATAAAAATAATTGGAATAAACCAAAACACATCATAAATGTTTAAATCCATTTATTCATAATAATCCTCTTTACTATTTTGTTCTTTGAAAATACATCTTGCTGAGGTTAAAATATAGTATTACTAGAGGGCAGAAAACAAATTTTATCTTTTGAAAACACGTAATACAGATGCTAGTGACCCACGCGAGCATCAAACCCATCATCTCAGTTACAGGATGCCCTAATTCGGTGATTTCCAATGTTGTGTTTTATGATATGATGCTTTCAGGGTGTTTGCAGTTTTCTTTCTTAAGATGATGCAAAAACCCATTTACTTAAAAATCAATGCTCTAGCAATTTCAGTTTATGGAACAAAAGCATAACACAATTTGAATGTAAATTCACAGTTTTGACCTCAAGAGTTAAGTAGAAAGTTACCTAGCAGAAAATAACTGTAGAAAAAGTTTACTTCTTTAATTTGAAGTTTAGTTATTGACCTCACACCCAGCCTTTTCCCCAGTCAGTTTTGCATAATAAGTATAATTTAATGTTACACAGACAGCTCTATGTATTAAAATAGCTCCCAAGGGCATCACTATAAAAGAATTGCATTTATATAAATGTGCATGAATTATTAAGCACAATTCATTTTCTGCAAAGAAAATAAGAAGTGCATAATATTTGTTTTTAGTCACAAAACATTTCATGACAGTTTAACATATTGTGGGGGATTAGATACTGGAAAACAAAAATAAAAATCAATGGCAAAAAAGCCTTTTAAAATGAGATGGCATGAAAGTAAGAAATTCTAAGAACCCCAAAATAAAAGAAAAGCAGGAGCCTGGAAAGTAGAAGTATGGTTTTCATCCTAAGAGTTTCTGCCACAACCTAGAGTCATTGAGCTTCAGTGCTGATAACTTAATTGGACATTCAACAAGCTCAGGACCAGCCAACTAAATGATGTAAGAGCCCTACATACATTGGCAACCAAAGAATATGTAAAAGGTCAGTAAGAAAAATTAGCATCTTCAGAGAGTTTGTAACTCTAAATTGGCCCTCATAAGGATTAATACATCCAGTTTCATACTATCCATGTGATTTGAAAAAACTGAAAACAAAAATTTTAGAGGCGCCTGGGTGGCACAGTCAGTTAAGCACCCAACTCTTGATTTGGGCTCAGGTGGTGATCTCAGCGTCATGAGATGGAGCTCCCCATCAGCTCCGCCCTCAGCGGGGAGTCTGCTTAAGTTTCTCTCTCCCTTCCCCTCTGCCCCTCCCCACTCTCTCAAATAAATCTCAAAAAAAAAAAAAAAAATTTAAGTGTTCTTGTGTCAGAAATGAGCCTGAGTAACTGGCAGAAGCAAAAATGAGTATCTTTGGAAAGACACACTTTAACCCACTTCTCAAAGAATTCCAAGGGGGATCAATAAAATGAGTGGCTTAAAGTTAACAAGTAGAATAGACATAAGGAAACAAGCATTATTCGTGAAAACCAACAGAAACAAAACTGAAAACTGAAATTTATCATATACTGGATATAGAATATAAAAGACTTATGGTTATTAACACTACATGAAAGAAATGCTATCTCAGATTGGGTTTCCTAGAAATAGAGCTTGAGGCTGGGATTTGTATTCATATGTTTTCTTAAAGATTTGAGTGTGGCGGGAGGGGCAGAGGGAGAGAATTTTCAAGCAGACTTTCCACTGAGCATGGAGCCCCACACAGGACTCAATCCCAGGACCCATGAGATCACGACCTAAGCCGAAACCAAGAGTCCAATGCTTAACCGACTGAGCCACCCAGGCGCCCCTGGATTAATATGTTTTATTGAAGGGGAGCTCATCAGGAAAAGCTTCGGACAACATGGGAAGGGAAAGAGCTGAGCAAGGGTAAAACTCGTGTACAATTCTAATCTTGGCTCAATCCACAGATTAAGGATGGTTTCTGAAGCATTAACTGCAGGGTATGTCCTCATTCTGTCTCTCCTTCTACTTGTGTGGAAGTATACATTCATTCTGTTATTTTAGTAATCACCCAATTTTAGCCTGCGTACATGACAAAAGCAATCAACAGCTACTATTGTCAAGTATCAAGAGAAGAGAACTCTCATTTCCTATTTGTTAGAATGGACACTGGTACAACCTCTTTGGAGAAGAGTTAGATACTGCACAGTGAAGCTGAACATGTGTGTGTCCTATGACCCGACATTTTCAGAGTTATATGTCCTAGGCAAAAATTTGAACCTGTGTACCAGGAATGTTAATAGCAGCATTGTTGCAATGTTAAAGATATTTGGAAAAAACTCAATGTTCATTAGTAGTAGAATAAATGAGTAACTCCAAAAATAAATAAATTACATAATTAATAACTCTAATTATATACTAGAACATTGAGCAGCAATGAAAATGGATAAAAAGCTATATATAACAAATGGATGAATCTCAAAAACTTGGTGTTGAGCAAAGGAAGCAGAATATATACAATACAATCATATTTACACAAAGTTCACACAGAGGCAAAATCGGCTAATAAATTTTTATGGGTACATACATAGGTATAAAACTTCAATGAAAGTAAGGGAATGATTAACACAAAATATGATTTGATGGTTATCTCTGGATTTGGGGAGGAAGGGGAATACAAGCAAGGAGAAAGGGATTTTTTTTTTTTTTTAAGATTTTATTCATTTATTTGACAGAGAGGGAACACAAGCAGGGGGAGTGGCAGGCAGAGGGAGCCCGATGTGGGGCTCGATCCCAGGACCCTGGGATCATGACCCGAACCGAAGGTAGGTGCCTAACGACTGAACCCCCCCCAGGGGCCCCGAGAAAGGAAATTTCTAATACCCTGCTTCCTATCCTGTGTGATGAAGACATAGTACTGATTAGTCTTTGAATAATTTGTATACATAATTTGATGTAATTTTAATGTGATTAGCAAGATATTTTATTTTTTTTAATTTTTAGCGTAATATTTAAACTTAAACTTACAAGCACCTTCATATGCCTCCCCTTACTTGACCATCTAATTAATACCCTTGAGATTTTCTCTTATACTATCATCTATCTGTTTTTCTTTCATAAAACCTCCAGTTTGTAATCATAGATTTACCTGGGTGTTTATATGTTTTACTACGGATTTCCCCCACTAAGCTGCGTGTTCCCTGAGAACAGAAACCATGTCTGTTTTGCTTACCACTGTGAAATTCAAAACGATTCCTTTTACATGAAGTTGTATAGGGTTGAATTGTAGGATTCTGAGAACTTTTCCATCCTCAAAGATGAGTTTTGCCAAAAGTTGGAGGGGGAAGCTTTGCTAAAGCAGTAATGCAGCCACTCAAATAAGCAAGATAACATACAAATAGATCAGCACCATACATGGTACAGGGTGAGAACTCAATACATACCAGTAGGTGCTGGTATTGCTGTCATTTTGCATCTTTTTATTTAACTCTAGTGGTTGTCTAAGTTAATTTCATTCAAATTTGTTCATCAGGGGCACTAATTATATTGTAGTCACTCTTTCTTGCTGCCCAGGTATATAAATGTAGACTATTTTGCCAAGTCATGAATAGTGGTTGTAGCATCAACAGTGGAAAAACAGGGAAGTCCAACAGGGTTGAGTGTAACTGTAGTTTTCGTAGTGGAGAGAAAGGGCCATAGATTCAGGTTAGAGGCTAAGAGATGAAGCACTCATTTGTTAATTCGAATTCTCAATCGCAAGTATCTTGGAATGATTTGTTTCACTATTTTAGAGACAGGGTCACATCTACAGGCTTCTGTAAGGGCAAGTCCCCATTAAAAAGAAATTACGATAACACCAAATAAAGGGACAACCTTGTAAAATGGATTAGGACCCAAGAGTTGGTGGGGAAATAAACTTAACAAGTTTCAACCAACACTTGCTGTAATGAGATAAAATGAATAATAAAATAGAGCATGGACAAATAACTTATGACACTTTTGCTCTATATCCCATTTTTTAAAAATCATCTATTCATTGTGAGAAGCATGCTAATGCGAGGATGGTAACATGAAAGAATGGTCAATGGCAACTGTAAGAACTATTGATTGAAAATTGAAAAATAAATTATTCTTTCACAGATGTTAAAATATAAAAATTTGTATATTAGAATTAATAAAATAAGGCATAAACACGTATAAATACTAGTCTTTGATATTAAATATATTTCTTAGTGTGGATTGTGGCCAAAACATTTGAAAGCTACTGCCCTAGAAAATGTATTTTCTGTTCCTTAGATTAGAGCTGGATGGAATATTGCAAAATCATACATATATCAGACTGTGAAATTACAGGGACTATAAGAAACTCTTTGGTAAATTAAAAGTAAAGTAACATTTCTAAAATTGGCACAAAAAATTGCACATATATTGTGAAGTTGTCAGTCAAATTATAAATTAAATCGACATAAAACATTCACTGACCACGAAATGTGACAGCTAGCTAAGACTATGTACATAATACTTGAACCAGTGAAAACTTTGATCCACCAAGCATGAAGAAATTGGACAGACATGTGGATTCCTCAGGATAACAGACTCTTGGAAAAAATATATCAGATTTTTCTGTAAAGTATATAATTCATTGCCAGGTATGTATAATCTGTTTTGAAAAACTTCCAATTATTAAAATTTGAAAATAATAATAACCATAAAAGCTTTCAGTAACACTTCCTTAAGTTGTTCTAGAAAACACTGTTATTTTTGATTTCTGCAGAGTCAAGTGCAGAAGCAAGTAGACTGATGAACTTATGAACATCATGAAAAGAGTTGTAGAGAGGAACTGGAGCCACTCGGATGCCATTTGGTTCTCGCTTGTCACACTGCGGGGGGTAAATAAAGTCACAATAATGTTAGCATTACTCACATAATGAAAAAATCTACATTCAAGATAAACTTACATAAAGCAATCATGCCGATTTCCCTAAAACTTAATATATAAGCATTTTTTACTTGTAGTAAAACATGTTTCTATGTTATTGGAAACTCTCCTCTTAATAATAGTTAAAATATGAATGAATATCATGAGTATCCAAAGTGTTTTCCTGAAATCTACTCAGCAATCTTCTTCTTGAAGCGTCCAATAAGTATGGATATAATTTTTTGGTGGCGAGACTCTGGAGAGACTGGAACCCTTGGGCACATTTAAATGAATGAGAACCTCACTGAGACCTGGAGAGTTTTAGTCAATAGTCTTTACATTTGATCCTTTAATCTCTAATCTCACCTGTAAGGAGTTGGCTGTATCCCTGAAATGTCACAAAATGGGCCCAGATAATTTGGTCTAGCTGGAAGATCACTATGACTAACCTTTAAGAAACACCCACTGTGAGTTAGACAGTACCGTAAATGGTTTATGTGTGCTGGACCATTTAATTCTTTTTTTTTTTTTCAAAGATTTTATTTATTTATTTGA